AGTAAATCAATTCTCATTTTCAACCACACATTCTTCAATAAAATAATATTTTCCATCACATCAATAATTTTTTCTTCTTTTTCAACCACACATTTCCCATCATATCACTATTCAAAATCAATTCTTTCCTCAAAAATCTCTACCAAACAAGTACTTAGAGGCTGTCTGCTGCAGATTTTCTTCTTGATTATTAGTGATTTTGTTACCGTTGAATGATTCAACGGTAAAAAATTCATCACCAGTTGCAGCCTTTTCTCTCACAAGTGTCAGGCCCACGTTTAAAAAATCAATTCTTACAAGATGAAAATCTGCACCAGACAGTGCCTTAGTATTCTTTTCTGAAGATCAGAACACAGTAAAAAGGTGGAATCGGGTTCTAAGGGTGTAAGCCTCACCATGAACCAGATGAATAGTTCAAAAATACAAAAACATAGAATAGTCAAACAGCAAGAAAAAGAAACGATAAAAAAAATGATATGAGAATATTTGACAAAAATAAAATTGGAAAAAAAATAAATTTGACTAACCTGTTGTCACTTCTTCGCGGGATTGATGATGTTATAGGATTGCAGTGTTGTGTTTCGTGTTTATATGTGTTTTGTGTTTGAAATTATAGTGTATATTTATCCATAGCTTTGGTTTTGATATATAATTTATGGCTAATAATCAATGAATTAGGTAAGTTTATATAGCCCCATGTTTGAGCCACATTCTCATTCTCATTCTTGTACTCATTTTCAATTACATATTTTTCTATAAAATAATATTTTTCATCACATAAATAACTTTTCCTTCTTTTTCAACCATATATTCACCAAAAAAAAAAAACATTCTCTCCTAAAAAATGTGCATCAAACACACCAAATTAAGTTTCCATTCAAATTCTTCCTTTTAGGGGACAAGACTCACCCTAACCCCAAAAATTAAGTTTAAAAAATCCAAAATGAAATACACAATTTTGGCTGTAGTTGCAGTCAATAAACTAATGAACGATTAGTTCTTGATCGCATAATTCTTATTTGAATTGATTAATCTCAAGTCTTATTTCAAACACACAAAGAATTAGTTCATTTCTTTTCATTATAGATCAAAAGCAAGTTTTAAGCAGAAGAAAGCTTATATACCTTTGATTAAAGTGAAGAAGATCCATGGAAGGTGAAGGCTCAGAAAGAGAAAAAGGCATAGCGCCGCCACCACCTGTTGCTGCCCTAGAAACGGCGTTAGGGGTCTCGAGGACTTCTACACAACCATTGCTGCCTGCTTTGCCGCTGCAAGGAGTGGTGGTGGACGTGNGCGTTAAACGTGAGTTTTAAAGAAAAATGTTTAACTCGCATTTTCTGTAAAAAAAATTCAATTATTTCATTAACATTTATTATTTTTGCAATACAAATTTCTCAATATAATTTTCATCCTTTTATTAGGAAATTTTATATGGAAATATGATATAAATTTTTTTCGAAATTTTACATCTGAAAAAATCATATTTCATGTAAATTCTCGGATGCAAAATTACATGGGGTATAATTTTTTAACGTACATTTTCGATTGTAAAATTTCTCCCAATTTCTTTGCAAGTTCGATTGCACCCCCCTTAACTTTTAAATTCTACGTCTGCCCCTGAGCTTGAGGTTTACGCCTCAACCACTAAAGGCATAAGCCTCATTGTGCTCCATTAAATTTGCGCCCTAATACTATTTTCCACAGCCTCAATTGAGGTGCACCTCAGTCATGCCTTTATAAATCATGGGAGCATGAAGAATTGAATTGGAAGGATAGTTTGTTATCTTAGTTTATTGCAAATGTGGTCTATTTATTTCAGTTTAATCCTTCTTTTGTCATTTCCAAAGTTTGATCTGATATTCAAACTTGGTCAAGAAGCACATTTAGTTGATAATATTTACTAATTATTAGCGTACCAAAATAACAAATTGATAAAAATGAAAAGTAAAGAATAGAAAAATGACTTTATGCTGGTGACACGTAATGAAGTTTTTCTTCATATCTTGTGAAATTAGAGTATCTCTAAGAGACACTTTAAACATGAGATACTCTTTATTTTAAAGAGTTCAACCTTTAAAATCATGTTTCAAGAGACTCTTTAACTTAACATTTTAATTTAGAGAGTGGGTTTGACTCTCCAAATTTGAAGAGACAAACTCACTCTCTATAATTAAATGCATTTAAAGTATTTCAATTTTCAATGTAAGAAAATAATAACATAATCTAAAGAAAAGTTAGTTACAATAAAAGATAAAGAAAAATAATATATATTTTTTTGGAGTGATAAAATTAAATGTTAAATATAAAGAGTTTGTTAGAACATTTCAAAATTTTAACTCTCTAAATTTATAGACTTTCCAAATGATAGAATATGCTCTTTAAAAATAGAGAGTATCTTGGAGATACTCTTAAAGTAACATTTTAGAATGGCTGGTTGGCAACTAGTTTTCTAGCACTTAGGCCCTAATTGATTGCTCATTCTTTTCCATGGAAAATGGAAATTAAAATTCATTTCCGAATTTTTGCATGTTGATTGACTTAAATTTTCCATAGAATTTGTTTTCCACATTTTCTTAGTTTTTGAGGAAAAGTTTTTCCCATGAGTTTGGTGGGAAAAGTTTTTCTAAACAACTTTTTTATTTTTATTTTTTTGGCAATGGAAACAAATTATATCCCAAATTGTAATAAATTATATCCGTTCAATGGACAATTTTCATGGAAAACAAAGTCAAACAAATACTAAAATATCCAAAATTTCAATATTTTCTAGGTGGAAAATTATATCAATCAAACACAATTAATTGACAATTCACAATAAAACAAGTTCTAGATAATTCAATTTCCTAGAATTTATTTTTTTACCCAAATTCCATTGTTGCAATCAAACGGACTATACTAGCCAATGCAGTATGCAGCTATTGAAATTCTAGGGAATATTGTATGTGAAAGAGAACCAACACTTGATGTAGCTGACAAGAACTCTCAAATCTTTTAAAAAAAAGTTATAGGATAGATGTTTAAATCAAGAGGAGCAATTATTCTCCATGATTCTCAATCATTTATAGTAACAAGTGTTTGTTGTTTTCTATAATTAGGATTAAGGCAGTATTCCCATAAGGGGTTGGGTTGGGTTGGGTTGGATTGGGTTGGGTCGGGTCGATTTTTGCTCCAACCCAACATTGTCAGTTCATTCGAAATTCAGCCCTACCCAACTTATGTAAATGTTGAAACCCAACCCAACCCAATCATGTGTCAGTCGGGTTGGGTTGGTTGGTTCGAGACAACTTGTCACACAAAAATTAAAAACATCCAATTTTTGGATTTAGCCCCTGTTTGGTCCATATTAATTTTTTCATTTTCATTATTTTACTCATTTTCAACCACACATTTTTTAATAAAATATTATTTTCCATCACATCAATAATTTTTCTTTTTTTTTCAATCACAAATTCTCAATCAATCTACTATTCTGGATTACGTTCTTCCAAAATAACNGTCATGTTTAGTATCGATTGAAATTTAAATTTTAATCTAAGGATGTGTTTGGTACCCATTAAAATTTTCATTCTCATTATTCTACTCATTTTCAACCACACATTCTTCATTAAAATAATATTTTTCATTACATCAATAACTTTTCCTTTTTTTTCAACCACATATTCCCCATCACATTAACAAAAAAAAATGCATTATTGGCCCCAAAATGTGCACCAAACAGAGGCTTAAAATGACATTAATATAGTCGTCCAATGTCAATAAACTTCAAAATTAAAATAATACAATCCACCGAATATTCATCAAAATAATTAAACAAAAATGATTACACATTTCATTAAACGAACCACAGTAGCACATTAGCATCCTAGAGGCACAAAATTGAACTAAATACACATTAAAGATACACCTGGAAACTTTTCAACTCTTGTTTCCTTCATCATCTTCATTCAATTTTGAATTCATTGGTTCTAATTCTACCAAAAAATTGATTTAAATTGACAAAAAAATACATAGAAATAAAGTCAAATTAACAAAATTTATGAAAAAAAATATATATTATCTTCACCTAACTGGTTGTAATGCTCAACATCTTCCATGTGGAAATCATCTAAGTTTGGAGAAGCTTTCAACCAATTTTGTGTGCATATTAAGGCCTCTACCATCTTAGGACTTAATAAACTACGAAAAAGATCAAGGATCCTTCCTCCAGTGCTAAAAGCACTTTCTGAAGCAACAATTGAAACTTGAATTGACAACACATCCTTAGCCAAATTGGACAAGACACCATACTTTTGTTAACCTTCCACCAATTGAGAACATCAAAGTCCTTGTTTTCTATGCTTTCACGAGCACCAAGTGTCTTTCAACGCCATTTTTATTTCAGTACAATCTTTTACTGCTTTTTTTTTTCATAAATTTAGAAAGTCAAGTATCACTCATAGAAGAAGAACTGCCTTTTATTAGTATTGAAAGAACTCAAAGACTCATCAATTGATTCTTGACTGCTTCCATGAACACATTCACAAGCCACATACCACATAAATATCCATTAGATTGATTTTCAAAGATTTCGTTGTGATACTAACAACTTCCCCCAGCCCTGTATAGATCACTAAAATATTATTCAACATAATCCATTTTGTA